TTAATTTTGGAATAAACAAATACTTAAGTAAGTATTACTGGGTTTTAAGAAAAATCTCAGTAGTAGCACGGAGTCTGGAATTATGTCCGGTATATGGCAATAGGCTCACCCACTTACATGGGACTCGTAACATAAATAGTGATAAGTGGGTTTTACATTGTACAGTGGCATAATGTGCACCTCTGCCTACCCCTTCGGGGATGAAAGGCGTGATGTTATGTTTATTTTTTTATGTTTCAGGGATATTACACAGTGATGTATTGTCATTACGTCCTACTACTCCCATGCGGCCTCCAGAAGAGACCCAGGCGGCTAAAGTCGCCCAGATGATTAATTTCGTAAACACGTTAAAGAAGCGCGTCAGTTTTCTAGGATGTACGTACAATATAATATTATACTTCATCGCACGAGTGAGGTTACCGGAGGTACAATTACCCCTAATCTTCCCAATCCTGTCGCGGAGAACCTAACGGGTTACCGGGGCTCCGGCTCGACGTGCAGGAGAAGGAACGGGGTGGTTTTAGTCAGTAAGAGTCTGACACTCCCTCCCGTCTCACCCAGGCGTGAGCAGTCATTCGATGATTTTCCCCCTTAAAAAAAATCTCCCCAATCCTCGAGTCCCCAACAATCCTCAAATTCATAATCCCCAAAGGCCGGTGACCTACTTGTAACGCCTATAGTATTTCGGGTGTCCATGGGCGACGTCGATTGCTTACCATCAGGTGATCCGTCTTCTTTTTTACTGGCTGATCCAATAAAAATATACTTATCGCTTTTTTATAAAGTTGGGAGGCAAACGACCAAACGTATCGTCTGATGGTAAGCAATCAGCGTCGTCCATGAACACTAGTAGCACCAGCGCAGTTGCAAACTCATTGTCGATCTTTATGGTCTGGGATTGGGCCTCAGAGCATCTGGTAACCAAGTTTCTGGTGTTCCGATTGTTCATGGTCCCTGCATTCATGCCGTATGCCGAATAAAACTCATTTCCTTTCATCTCATTTCATGTCATTTCATCTCATTTCATCTCATTTCATGTCATTTCATCTCATTTCATCTCATTTCATCTCATTTCATGTCATTTCATCTTATTTCATCTCATTTCATCTTATTTCATCTTATTTCATCTCATTTCATCTCATTTCATCTCATTTCATCTCATTTCATTTCATTTCATTCAGTTGATCTGCTTGTATACTAAAGATTAATCATTCATTTAGATGACAAACGCAGAACAGAATTGGCCCACGTAGAAGAAATTAAGCCTTGGATTGAGAATCTATACAAAGTTCTATTGTCGAAAGAGGAGCAGACGTCAAGAGAATATTCCCAGAAGCTGGCAAACATGGCGCGGTACTACGTCATTAACAATCCAGAGGTACTGGACGAGTTTGGCAAGAAGAAGATAAAGAGGAAGAAGGATATTAGGTATTGCGGTTTTTTCTTATATTTCTACTAACAACTATACATTAGGATGTAAACGGAATGCTATCAAAAAAAAATACCTTTTTTATGGCATAAGCCGGTAAACGAGCAGACAGGTCACCTGATGGTAAGAAATCGGCGTCGCCCATGGATACCTGGAACACTAGAGGCGTTAAAAGTACGTTACCCGCCTTTTGGGGATTAGGAATTTGAGGATTATTGGGGATTAGGGGATCAGGGAGATTTAGGAGAGGGGTAATTGGGCCTCCGAAAACGTCACTCACACGATGAAATACAACGCAAGCGTTGTTTTACGTCGGTTTTCTGTGAGACTGTGGTGTCACTCCAGTCGAGCCGGCCCATTCGTGCCGAAGCATGCCTCTCCCACACTTAAACCAGTACATAATCCAAGACATATTTAAGTAAAGTGAATATATGCAAAGTTAACCGCTAAGTTACTAATTTATGTGTTCTTCCCTGCGGGTACCCTGCAGGGTAACATGGTACGTCTTTAATACTGCCTCGTTGGTCGGGTAGACGTTTAGGGAACAGAGAGTATAGTTTCCTAAGATCGGAATAGGAGGATCCTCCGACCAGGCAAGGTTAGAGTGCCAGCGGGCTTTCTGCCCAACAGTTAGCTCGCTGGGATTTTCTATCCGTGTTAGTTCGCATGTAAACTTCACAGGTGCGATGTAGGATTTTTGTGACGTCATCCGTTGATTTGTTTTCATTGATAGTCTATGTCACGGTCTATGTGAACGTGAACTGTCATTTGACACGTGACGTGTATCGCCCTAGACTTTTCTTTTGTTTTCTCCCGCCTAGGGGGAGGCGAGAGGAAGTGCCAGACGCTTACTGACTAAAAACTACTCCGTTTCTACTACTGCTCTTCGAGCCGGAGCCCCGGTAACCCGTTAGGCCTTCCGTGGAATCTATTTGCCACCATGATTGAAATCGTTTAGGAAATTTATATTATGTAAACACGCATGTTTGCCTTGGTACTATCATTGCATTCATTTATCTTTTGTGCCTGAAAAAAGGTGGCCCCAAATTCTTCAAAATTGAAAAAAAACATTAAAAATCATTTATTTGGCCGAACAAGGTGTACAGTGGTCACATATTATTTGTACTCCTTCTTATTCTGCCCACAATAGGGTAGATGCCTTCCTCAGGGAAGTGATCGGCGATGGCGACCTCTCGCGTCCGGGCCTAGTGCAGGCCATGATGCGGAGCGAGGGGGACTGGGATGCCGTCCCCTGCTTTTGCGAAGCAGTCATGCTAGCTAAGGAGGAGGCGGGACGCGTGAGGCAGCGAAGCGCTGCCTCCTCGCAACCCAGCCATCGCGAAGGACACACCGGGCGTCGGGGATCGCGGGACGATCTCCGGCCACCGTAAGCGCGGGCCTGCGGACGGCGAGCATGGGTGGCTCCCCGTCCGACCAGAAACAGACCCGAGCGTACGGCGCGTCGCGTTCCGCGCGCGCCTCAAAGAGCCATCAGACCACCACAGATGGGGCCCAATAGGGCCGATGCCGATTCGGAGTCGCGGAGAACCTAACGGGTAACCGGGGCTCCGGCTCGACGTGCAGGAGAAGGAACGGGGTGGTTTTTAGTCAGTAAGAGTCTGACACTCCCTCCCGCCTCACCCAGACGGGAGCAGTCATTCGATGATTTTCCCCCCTTAATAAAAAAAGGGTAGATGCCTAATTTTTATTTTAATGTCCGTTTGGTAGATTATTTTAAATCATTAGACACGTATTTTTTATTTTCTTACAGAAACGAATACTTTCGACGATATATTGATTTGAAATGTCGCGTGACGTCACTTCTATGCTCATTTTATACATAGAAATTACGTTTTAGCCCCCACTCCTAAACTTTGATTCGTTTTATCTAAGTATTATTTCATTATACGACAAAATAAAAAAATACGTGTCTAATTATCATATCATTTTGTCATTAAGTACCTAAGTTACGGACTAATTAGATTATTAATTTTCATACCCTGTCATCATTCCAATTTTCGGGCGTGCAAAACTTTTACATGGAATTTAAAATAATTAAAACTATAAAACAAGGTATGTATGTCATATTAAGTGAAAAAAGTGACATTAAAGGTACGTGTCACATAGACTTGCTTTAAAAAAAGGAGATACATTATTTGTCAAACATTGAAGTAAAATTAACAAAAATAATAACAATAATATTCAGCCGTCAATCATTCAAAAACAGTCAAATAGACCCTAACATTATGTTTGGCTCTTTACTCGTATCAGGGATAAGATTATATTCTTTTTTACGCTTTTGCAATTTCTCAGTAATAAATTAATTAAAATAATTAATTATCAGTTCCATTGAAATAAGATAATGATAGATAAATAATTCTTTGTTATACATATCTCTAACTCTAATAAGCCTAGGTTTCCTCACGATGTTTTCCTTCACCGTTTGTCAGTGGTGTCTAAATAATCTTAAAAAGTACATATACTACCTCGTTGGCCGAGTGGTCGCAAGTGCAACTGCCAGTCTAGGTGTCTCGGGTTCAATTCCCGGGTTGGGCAAACTATTACAAGGTTTTTAAAAAAAAATTCAGTGGTAGCACGGAGTCTGGAATTGTGCCCGGTATATGGCAATAGGCTCACCCTCTATTACGTAGGACTCATAATATAAATAGTGAAAAGTGGGTGTTACATTGTACAGTGGCATAATGTGCACCTCTGCCTACCCCTTCGGGGATAAAAGGCGTGACGTTATGTTGTACATATAACTCGGAAAAGTCACATTGGTAGTTGCCGTTGTTAGGTTTCGATGCATGAGTAACCCACTTGCCCTTGTGACGCGTCTGGTGTTGCAGGTGTCCATGGGCGACGCCAATTGCTTACCATCAGGTGATCCGTCTGCTCGTTTACCAGCTTATACCATAAAAAAACATAGTTACAAACAAACGGATCTTATTCCTAGATCGGAGAGAAGCGTTAATATGATTGCTGCCGAGCCTCGTGTCGCGGGTCCGATTCCCGCACGGAACCACTTTTTGTGTGATCTATAAATTGGGTATTTTTCTGAGTAAAAAATAAATTAATTATTGATTATTCAATCCAATTGTGTACTTGCCAACTAGTCAAATTTATATACTTTTTTCGAACTTTAAAAAACGAGAGTATTCTATGAATTTTGTACGAGATTGTGTATTGTGACGTCACGTTTTTTTAGAGACAAATTGGGTCGGTCATAAAATCAATTAATGAAAGTGTGATTATTTTTGTAATATTTTATTGTAAATGAACAGTCGAAATAATTTGTTTTTCATTAAGGAAAGTACCCGAATAAATATTCAAAAATAATTACAAATTCATTCATATATTTGACGCGATATACTTAACTCGTCGAGTACCGTCATTATAGACACAATTATAGAACAATAGGTTGCGGTCACCGGTGACCGCTTAGTGTTTGACAGTTTAATAATCGATTTATTCTAGCATTTTTTTCAGAAACAAGTGTGCTATTTGACTCGAAAGTATGATGACGTCATAAGTCAGTATTTAGTACAAAATTCATAGAACAATATCGTATGACGTTTCAATAAAAGTATTGAATTTTATTAGTTTTAAAATATCGTATTGTCGTTTCAGGTCTGTGTGTCATGTATGTGAAATTCCATGTAAATTATAAACGCACACACATCACAGGAGAATATGGTGTGGGGCAACGTTTAGGTTTAAAAAAGAAAAAGACTGCCTCGTTGGCCGAGTGGTCGCAAGTGCGACTCCCGGACAAGGGGTCTCGGGTTCGATTTCCGGTTATGCAAAATGTATCTGGATTTTAAAAAATCTCTGTAGTAACACGGAGTCTGGAATTGAGCCCGGTACATGGCGATAGACTTTTTCACATAAATAGTGAAAAGTGAGTGTTACATTATACAGTGGCATTAAGTGCCGTAATGTGCACCTCTGCCTACCCCTTCGGGGCAAAGTCCCGATTTAATGTAGGAAAGAATTACATATAATCATTTGTCGTTTTATTTTCAGGAGACCGTCATACGAGTCTGCAGCATCCTCAGATCCTGTGTCTAAGTCGGAGAGTTCTTCTGTAGAACCTAGATACAAGGGTCTAGGGCCGAAGAGCTTGAAGAGACGATACGACATGGAATTTTTACGTAAGTTATCAAAAACTATATTAACACTAGAAGGGCCAGGCTTCATGCTATACCTTCAAAGACCGCAGCGGTCAATTTGACGGTACTAGAGATTAAGTCAGAATACTTATGAAATTATTGCATATTTTGCATTAAAATAAAATAAAAATAATATAAATGTATTTTTTTACTAATAGTAAAAAAAATGCATTAAATTGAGTAACATTTGTAGCAAGTACCTAATAGTTTTTTAAATTGTTTTCTACATTTTCTACAAACAGGTTTTTTAGAGATAATGCAGTTTTCACATATATATTTTTTTTTACAATTACTGTTGATTTGACATTACCGCCTCTTATTGTTTTTAGTAGATGGTACACTTGTTTGAGAATTAGTTTCTTGATGCTGTGTCATAGTTGAAGTGGATTTTTTTCACATACTTTTCACGTAGTACGCTCAGTAGTTGAATGATGAAATCATGACGAGAATTTTTTATTCCTAGTAACTTTTTGATAAAGAACCTACGAGTTTATAGCTACTAAATCAAGTAAATTGTAAAATACATGACTGGCCATCCCCGACTTCCAGCTCTTACGGTGTACTTGCGTGCCATTTGATCGCTGATGTTTACACTAAATTTTGTTGTACCTATTGTAAAATTCAATTGTTTCAGGCAACTTTTTTTGTCAGTACCTATATTTATGTTGAGGTGCAGAGTACTCAAAATAATAACATGTGTTCCAGGTTTTCCTTGATAGACAGTAAGGGTTGTATCGGTAACGGTTTTCATTATGAAGGTTTTATATCTTGTAGTATGAATACCTCTACAAATCAGTGGTACTTCTCGTCTTGCACGCCGCATTGTTCCAACAATACTAGTCTTCGACCAATAGTGTTTTAGCCGAATTTAGTGATGTGAAAAAGTTGTCAGAGGTTACGTTTTGGCCCTAGCTACGACGTCCCTCTTCACTGGCGTTTGCAGAAACAAAAGTCCTTTCTGTGCCGTCACTTGCCACACGACTGCTCAGCGAACGGAACCAATGCCTAATGTAAACAAGGTTTAGGTACTAATAAATTAGTCAGAATTCAACCCAACATAAATAAAAACAAAAGTACCCACTTTAGTTTGAAGAGATCGTTGTTCACTATTCTTATCGCTGTCTTTATATGTATACCGTCACATTGACGGTGCGCGGTCTTAGTAGGTATTTGTAATCGAAACTCAAATACAACATATAGTTATTTTTTTATAAATATAGATTAAGCCTTAGAATAGCAAATTAGGAAAAGTCATAAAATATTAAAAGGAACTAAAACATAGTTTGCAAAATATTTAACAATGAAATTGCCTTGCGGTCAGTTTGACTGCCTTGGTCTTTCTAGTGTTAATATACCTTAACATAAAAAATAGATGATTGCCTCGTTGGCCGAGTGGTTGCAAGTGCGACTGCCCAACAAGGGGTCTCGTGTTCGTTTCCCGGGTCGAGCAAAGTTTTTCAAAAAATTCTCAGTAGTAGCACGGAGTCTGGAATTATGCCCGGTATAATTATGGCAATAGGCCCACTCCCTATTACATGGGACTCGTAACATAAATAGTGAAAAGTGGGTGTTACATTGTACAGTGGCATAATGTGCACCTCTGCCTACCCCTTCGGGGACAAAAGGCGTGATGTTATGTTATTCAGAATAGTGTTTATTACACTTAGGTGAAGGGTTGAAGTTTTTTAAAACGTAGTTTATTAAAGTCTTATTGAACGTCAAATAAAATACAAAATGGCAGTCTGTCGGTCAGTCCTCTATTGAAGCGATTTGCTCGTTTCAAAGTATAGATTTCTATTTAAACAAACGAGGAAGAAACTCCTTCTTATAAGCACCTTATAATCTTTTTAAATACATGAGATATTATTTTAGAATCCAGGTACTGAGAAAAATGATAAAAATCCCAAGTTACTCATGTGAACATACTGAGAAAAGCTCTACTAGTTTCGTACCACAAAGGGGTTCCTCCCCATGAGCAGCGTCCGCGGTCGCGGCGATGTTGCGCAGCCTACTTTAATCTTACTTTTTTTTTTAAAGATTTTTAGTTTATTTAGTATGACTCACGATGTTATTATAAAAATGATAATAACGTTAAATTAATTCCTAAAAACAATATCCACAGCTGATCCAGAAGCCAATCCCAAAGAATTCAACATTGGTAAGAAAGAAGATGAATTTGGACAGCTGGTTCTAAAAAACTCTGAAGAAAAAGATGTAATATTCCAACCTGTTGGCGAAAACGGACCGAAGTTCGAACCCGATTTAGACTTTAACATCAACGAGAAGGAAAACGTTAGACCAAAATCAATTTTCGGAGAGATATTAGACAATGTCAAAAGCTCTGAAATTGAGATAACAACTGAAAGTGCACCAACAACAGATTACAATAAAGACCAAAATGTCGTGAAGGGAAAATATATCAAAGCAGAAGAAGAAGAGATAAAAAATGACAATCATAAGAGAAAACCTCTTGAACCTAAAATAGATGACGGAGATTATGACAGAGGGACATACCAAAACCATAGACCAGATGACATGTCACCAAAAAAAGAAGGAAATGAGACCAAAACTGATTTAAACTATCGGGTAGAAGAAATTAAAGAAACTGAATTAAATAACTACTTAAAAGGATATGGTCACCAAAAAAGATTTAAAGAAGAACAAAGACTAAAATCTGTAGAAGTAAACAATAAACAGAAGAATAATGGTGCACAAGATGTAACAATTGACCCACACAGAACTGACCAACATAAGGATGTAGATAACAATGAGACAATCGACCCACACAAACATAAAGATTTAAATAAAAATCAGCAAAATGATGAAAAAACTGGATCTAAAGAACGAAAACCTCAAACGAACCAATGGGATTTAAAAGGCAAAGAGAATGAATATAAATACGAAGGCAACGAAAAGATTAAAGACCAAAACAACGATGACCATAAAAGAAATCTTAACGAAAACGAGGACAAATTTAATAAAAACAACAAACCACGTCTTGACAATGAGAATAATGGGAATAAAGATAACAATAATCAAAAGTATGACAATGAGAACCAGGACAAAATTGGATGGACTAGAGATGATGATAGAAATATAAAAGATAGAGATAATGTTATGAAGGATCATCATGAAGATAGGAATCAGAGAAACCTGGAGCAAAGTCATAATGACTACGACAGACTTAATGATGAACAAAGATATGATGACAAAGACCAGAAAAATAATGATGAAGGTCGATATGATGATTGGAATACTAAACGCAATGATAGAGATAGAAAACGTAATGATTGGGATAATAAAGAATCGAATATGAATAAAAATAACGATTGGGGCTCAAACAACAATGACCGGAAGAACAACAACAACAAGAAAAATGATTGGGCAACTAACAACGATAATTATGGTAAAAAAAATGAAAGAAATGAGAAAAACATCGACTGGGATACAAAAAACTATGATGGCGACAATAAAAGAGACGACTCGAGCATAAAGCAAGATTGGAATACAAAAAAAGACGCCTGGAATGAAAAACAAAGCTGGAACACAAAAAAAGGTAATTGGAACACTGAAAAAGACGATTGGAATACAAACAAATATAATGCAGACAATAATAATAACCAAAATTATAATAGATATGATTCAGACAGAAATAATAATGGAGATAAGAGACATGATATTGATAACACTAACTATTGGGATAGAAATGATAAAACTAAGAGAAAGGACAATTGGGACGATGATGCAGATTGGAAAAAAGACAATAAAAAGAACAGGAAAAAACACAGCATGGAAAAAAAAGAAGAGTGGAAAGAATACAGCGTTGACAACAAAAAGAAGGTTACTGATGAACCAAAAAACAATTGGGACACAGTTGGAACTAAACAGAAGAAACCAAAAGGCGGAGGACATAAAAAGAAAAAGGTCTTAAAACAAGGCCCCGTTGAAGTTTTTAAACCAATTGAAAAAGACTGGAATTTAGATGCGGAACCAGTTAAACAAAAAACTCCAAGTTCGTGGGACGATTATGTCCCAAAAAATAATGACAATGATGATTATAAACCGATAAAAAAGAAGAAACGCGGTAGCTATGAAAGATCGAAAAACAGTCAGCCTAATCACTCAGCTTTTGGGCGCACGCCTATCCCTTTTGCCGGCAAAAAACGTATTTATGCTGATAAATAAATATTTTTTTAGTATTGTTGTTTTATTTTTGCATTACTTCCACTATCGCCACTCTCCAGTTTTCCCGCGTTTGTCGTAGTTACCGACTATACAAGTTTATTGCTAAAACACCGATATCCTCTCAGGACTATTTTACTAATATGGGGCCCAATAGGGCTGATGCCGATTCAGAATGGCGGAGAACCTAACGGGTTACCTTAACCTAATGACTTCTCCCACCCGGGTGAGGCAGAAGGGAGTGTCAGACTCTTACTAACCAAAAACCACCCCGTTCCTTCTCCTGCACTTCGAGCCGGAGCCCCGGTAACCCGTTAGGTTCTCCACGACTCCAAATCGGCATCAGCCCTATTGGCCCATCCGTGGTGGTCTGATGGCTCTTTGAGGTGAGCGCGGAACGCGACGCGGAGTACGCTCGTGGTACCTCCGCACTAATGACCATAGTAATAACAAAGTAATAATGACTTTTCACAGTTGTCTGTAACATTCGTCCCATTTCCGTGTACTCGACATTGGAATATATCGATATGCTATCATGTAAAAATAATTACGTCCGCATTACCGAATTTCACGACATGACACAACGGCGGCGACGCAAGCGCATCAAAGCGAAGTATGCGAACGACCGACTGAGGGATGCCCCCGTAAATGGGTCAAGTGCAAGCACCCCCGCCGCCCTCATCCCGCTCCCCTCGCCATTTTACTACAATAGACGCTTTCGTTTGCTATGCAGACTTCGTCACATTTGGTGTTCAATTTAAATATTTTTAATTTTGTATGATAATTTATAATGAACTAAGATATAATAATTTTTAAAATGTTGTAATTATGATGTCAGTAACATAGTCCTGAGAGGATGTCAGTGTTTTACCAATAATCCTGTATGATGTCTAGAAGGAGCGTCACCATACATCTATATATTTTTTTTTATGTGGGGTAAATCATCGAATGACTGCTCCCGCCTGGGTGAAGCGGGATGGACTCTTACTGACTAAAAACCACCCCGTTCCTTCTCCTGCACGTCGAGCCGGAGCCCCAGCAACCCGTTAGGTTCTCCGCGACACACATATATATAAATAGAAATCAATTTTCGTTCGTTAGTCTCGTTAAAACTCGAGAACAGCAGAACCGATTAAGCTAATTTTTTTTATGGCATAAGCCGGTAAACGAGCAGACGGATCACCTGATGGTAAGCAATCGGCGTCGCCCATGGACACCTGGAACACCAGGGGCGTTACAAGTGCGTTACCGGCTTTTTGGGGATTAGGAGTCTTCGAGGATCGTTGGGGATTCAGGGATTGAGGAAGGGCAATTAGGCCTCCGGTAACTTGACTTACATGACAAAATACAACGCAAGCGTTGCTTCACGTCAGTTTTCTGCTCGGCCGTGGTATTACTCCGGTTAAGCCGGCCTGTTCGTGCCGAAGCATGGCTCTCCCACACACACGACGACTTTCTTTCTTTCCATACCAGGCCAGAAGGCATAACAAAGAAACGTGCAATAAAATATAATATGAACAACACTCTAGAAACGTTAAAAATTATATTACACAATAGTAATCTTGTTTTTATTACAGAACTTTACTATAATTGAAAAGTGATAAAAATCGTGCTCCGTTAAAAATGTGTAACAGAATATTATTTATTTTTCTAGTATTATTTGCGTTCAGTAAGTATTTTGTTTAATTATTAATTATTGCTGCTGGCTTGACTGCCTCGTTGGCCGAGTGGTCGCAAGAGTGACTGCCGGACAAGGGGTCTCGGGTTCAATTCCCGGGTCGGGCAAAGTATTACTGGGTTTTTAAAAATCTCAGTAGTAGCACGGAGTCTGGAAATGTGCCCGGTATATGGCAATAGACTCACCCCCTATTACATGGGACTTATGACATGAATAGTGAAAAGTGAGTGTTACATTGTAAAGTGGCATTAAGTGCCGTAATGTACACCTCTGTTTAAAACTTCGGGGATAAAAGGCGTGAAGTTATGTACGTATTAATTATTGTTGTCTTTGTCTAACCGTTGCTACCATCCATGCGTCACTGCAGGCGCCCACTGACAGTCAGTGCTGGGTGACTCGTGTGCCTATCTTACACTGAGTGGGTGACCCATTTAGCATAGGCATGTTGTTAGCGTCTCTTCTAATTCTTCTGTTTTAATTTTTAACTCATTGTTTTTATTACTTCCACTACACACCTTTATTGTCTTTTATTATATTGTATTTATGCTGCATCGTGCCTGCTGCTGAATTTCTTTCTTTATTGAAATAAAGAGTTTCCTTTTTCTTGTATAGAAGCATATCTCTATGGATTGTCAGTATGCGTATGTGAGCACCATGTTAGACTTAAGAGTCTTATTTTTTTTATTTTAGTAAGTTATTAGTATAATGCGTCAACCGTGTCTTTGCATTGTTCTTACATATGCGTACAGTATTGAAATATGTATCAGAGACATTGTAGAACATACTTTTTTAAAAGAGTAACGAATGGAGTTTCTTGCTCGTTCTTCTTCATTCGAATCTACGTTTTGGAATGAGCACCTAGCTTCACCTAGTTTCACTGACGGACTGACTGACAGACTATTATTTATTTTGTATTTGTTGACGTTTCAAAAGTACCAAACTATGGTTTAATTGAAATAAATGCTTTGACTTTGACTTTTGACTTTGAATAAATGTTTTGAGGGATGCAGGTCGGTTCCTACCGGCTGACCTGGAACTAGGAAGTCTTTGGGGAAGGTCTGTGTGAGGATGTAGACGTCTCGTGGCTTATATGATGATCTATATACATACCTCTATAATAAAATCGTAGGAAAGTCAAAACTGTACATTGAATATGTTTTTAAAAGTATACATGGGGCGTAATCTTGGTACAAAGTACTCGATACCAAAGCCAAAAATATGGTTTTTAGAATTTTTGTCTGTTTGTCTGTTTGTATGTTCGGGCTAAACTCAAAAAGTACTGCATGGATTTACATAAAAATTTGTATGAATGTTACTTACAAGTCAAGGTAACATATAGGTTACATATTAACATGCTATCACCTACGGCTAAGGAGTTGTGAATCACTATTCCACGCGGAGGAAGTTCATCATCATCAACAGCCTGCTTTCGTCCACTGCTGGACATAAGCCTCTCCAATGGCACCTCACTGAGCTCGGTCTTCAGCACTACGCATCCAACCACTGCCAGCCACTTTACGTATATCGTCAATCCACATAGCTGGAGGGCGCCCTACACTACGTTTGCCTAGACGCGGTCTCCACTCCAGAACACGTCTACTCTAGCGGTCATCGGTTCTTCGACAAATGTGACCGGCCCACTGCCATTTCAGCTTGCTAATTCTTTGGGCTACGTCGGTAACTTTAGTTCTCTGTCGGATCACCTCGTTACGGATCCTATCCTTCAGAGATACTCCGAGCACTGCCCTCTCCATAACTCGCTGCGCTACCTTAAATTGGTGGACCAGTCGCACTGTTAGTGTGCACGTCTCGGCTTCGTATGTCATGACTGGTAGGACGCACTCGTTGAAGACTTTAGTCTTCAGGCTTTGCGGTAGAGTTGACGAAAAGACCCGTAGAGTTTCCTATCCACCTAACCAAGCTGTATCCTTCTACGAGCCTCCCTCTCAAAGCTGTTTCTACCAAACTGTAGGGTTTGTCCTAGGTAATACTCCTGAACAACCTCGAGAGTAGACCCATTCAGGGTGATCGGCTCCGGAAGAACATGTTCATTGAATAAGTTGTCAAGTCTTATTGTTTTTTTTTTTAGTTAGCCCATGTTTGATGGCGAACGGACGCAAATATGATGTGGAAACTGAAGCGTTTAAGTTGTATGGTGAAGACTTTAAAACTGTACTGAGGAGATTTAGGAAGACACCCGATTATTTGAAGATCCTGAATGATAAGGTGGGCGCCATATTTAACAGTTTATTTTTAGTTGTCCAATGTGTAATTTCATTTTTTTATATTTATCTTGATGGGCCGACGTTTGACCACTATCCCGCCTGGTTAAAGTTAATGATTAATTCTTTAACAATTTTTAATAGTTACTAATTAAAATACAGATGTCAGACGAGCGGTGTGCAAAACTTACTACTGAGTGGAGCCCACTCAACGACAGTAGACGTCGTGGCAGGCTCAAAATGAGATTTTTTTCAATAGGGTAAATCATCGAATGAGTTCTTCCGCCTGGGTGAGGCGGGAGGGAGTGTCAGACTAAAACCCACCCCGTTCCTACTCCTGCATTTCGAGCCGGAGCCCCGGTAACCCGTTAAGTATTCCGCGGCTCCATATCGATATCAGCCCTATTGGGGGGATCCGTGGTGGTCTGATGGCTCTTTGAGACGCGCACGGATCGCGACACACCGTATGCTCTGGTCTGGTTCTAATCGGGCTGCGAGCTACCCATGCTCGCCGTCCGCAGGCCCAAAAGGAGATGGCGGGACGAATTAGACATCTATGACAAGGATTGGCCGCAAAAAGCTTTACATAGAGATGAGTGGAAGGAGGGTAGGGAAGCCTTTGCCCTGCAGTGGGACGATCATGGCTGAAAAAAATAAAAATAAAAATGAATAATGTTGATATTGAATCTCCCCCCGCAGATGAGAGACCTCCGCACATACGTGTCAGAGATGAGTCTCCAGGTGCTACACTACTTTCATACCAAGATGGCTCAGAGGGTCAATGACATCATAGGTGTGTCTCGTGTCGACGATGGTGCATCATCATCCTCTAGTCCTATGCTGTTAGTAACTTATTGTTTATGGAATAGAAGGCAAACGAGCAGACGGATATCCTGACGATAACCGATGAGCGCCGCCTATAGACACTTGAAACACCAAGGCGTTACAAGTGCGTTACCGGCCTTTTGGGAATTTATGGAGGATTTGGGTTTTGGAGAGACTAGGGAGGGAGGGGGGTGTAATTGGGTAGTAAAAGCAATAAGGCTTTTAAAATCGCAGTTTTATTTGTATTCATATAAATTCTATCATCCAATAATAAAAAAAATAAACCTTATGACAAGACCAGTAAGGATGCATATACATGTTGAATTAAAAATGTAGTGTATGTATTATGATTATAACATAATATTCTAATTGGGGTGTTTGAGGGTGTGCGTTAATTACGTTACATGTTGTATATATATCTATAGAAGACATTTCTTTCATTTCAGTTACTATCACGCTTACGGCAACAGGAGACAACAGAATGATATGAATCAAGACGAGTATAGTAGGATTGGAATTAAAGTTTTAGATGCATATAAAATATTCGGACATCCACTAACAGTCCAAGAGAGGAATAGCTTTAAAGACCTTGGATTTGAATTCGCAGGGTAAGAAGAAGACTAAGGAGACTTATTTGAACACTTATTCTCCCTTCTGCCAACGTCCTTGCCCACATTCCTGTCTGAAAAAAGCATCCTATGTGTCATTCTAGTGCCTTTAGCCAAACGCCACTTTAGCGCTTGTCTACAGAGAGAGTAGAAAACTAAATGTATGGGGATGACACTGACAAGTGTCAAAATTTACGTCAATTCCATATAATTTGGTTTTCTATTCTACATGTAGACAAGCGCTAAATGGCATTTGGCACTGAGCATAATAACATAACATAACATCACGCCTTTTATCCTCAAAGGGGTAGGCAGATTACATTACGTACGGCATTTAATGCTATTGTACAATGTAACACCCACTTTGCACTATTTATGTTATGAGTCCCATGTAATAGGGGGTGAGCCTATTGCTATATACCAGGCACAATCGCAGACTCCGTGCTACTACTGAGAAATTTTGTAAAAAAACCTAGTAATACTTTGCCCGCCTTGGGAATCGAACCCGAGACCTGTTGACCGGCAGTCGCACTTGCGACTACTTGGCGAACGAGGCAGACCATCATCTACCCCTGTAAATAACAAACAGTTTATTGTAAACCGCATTGAAATCGGTTCAGTCTGTCGCGAGATTATTGTAGACAAATATACATACCTACAAATGGTCCTACTGACGAATTATTCAATAAATAAAATAAAAATAAATAAAATAAAAATGCCCTTTGTTCCACTAATTACAATGTTTTAGACAAAACTTCATCATCTACAGCCTATAAATGCCCACTGCTGAGCAAAGCCTCTTCTCACATGGAGAAGGTTAGAGCGTTAATCACCACGCTTGCTCAATGCGGGTTGGCGATTTCAAACTTATAATTAGAAATTATAAGTCCAGGTTTCCTCACGATGTTTTTCCTTCACCGTTTGTCAGTGGTGTCTAAATAATCTTAGAAAGTACATATAACTCGGAAAAAGTCACATTGGTACTTGCCGTTGGTAGGTTTCGAACCCGCACCCTCATGCATGAGAAGTGGGCGTCTTAAACCTCCGGGCCACCACGACATTT